TGGGTTCAATCAGTTCTCCTGCCTCAGCCTCCCGAATAGCTGGGACCACAGACATGCGCCACCACGCCCAGCTAATTTTTGTATTTTTAGTAGAGACAGGGGTCTCACCTTGTTGACCAGGATGGTTTTGATCTCTTGACCTTGTGATCCATCTGCCTCGGCCTCCCAAAGTGCTGGGATTATAGACGTGAGCCACTGTGCCCAGCCGTTACTTAGAATTCCTAACTGTCTGGGAATGCAGCCCAGTAGGTCTCAGCCTTATTTTACCCAGCCCCTATTCCAGATGGAATTGCTCTGGTCCAAACGTCTCTGACAATAAGTCATCAAATTCCAGCCCTACTCTAGTATAGTAACACATGACAGACAGCAGGCCCTGAAAGAAACTGAAGTATTTTACCCCAAAAATATATTTCTTTCTTTTTTTTTTTTAGAAGCAAATGAAGCACAAAATTTATTTTAAAAGATGCTGCAAATTTGCTGATCTGCTCTAATTAACTCCTGTCCTTTGGGATCAGGTTATGGGCAATGTCCATGAGCGTTTACCAATGCAATATATGTATTTTTCAATAGGTCTTTGAGGAACAGGTGGTGTTTGGTTACATGAATAAGTTCTCTTGCAGTGATTTCTGAGATTTTGGTGCACCCATCACCCAAGCAGTGTACATTGCACCCAATATGTAGTCTTTTATCCCTTACCCCACCCCACCCTTTTCCCTGAGTCCCCAAAGTCCGTTTTATCATTCTTATGCCTTTTTCGTCCTCATAACTAAGCTCTCACCAAAATATATTTCTTTGACATATTTTGAAATTGTTCTGCAGAGCTGTCTCTTGTGGGGAACATCTACATTCTGTAGAGAATCCCTGTTCCTTTCCAGGTCTTTTCCCTGATCCAGGGGAGAACTAGGAGTCTGACACCTTTTTAGGTCTGCTAAGAGCTCTGCAGCCTGCTACCTGGAGGCTTCGCCTGCATAATAAAACCTTGGTCTCCATAACCTTTTATCTCAACCCAGACATTCCTTTCTATTGGTTCCAGGTCTTGGATAATAACTCTTTAACCAATTGCCAATCAGAAAATTGTGAGGTCTCTTAGGCTGACTGATGACGCCATGGTAACCTCTGTGACCTGCAAGGACACTCCTAATGAGTTCCTGGAACTAGAAAGTCTGAAGTACCTGGAAAACCACAAAAAGGGGAAGAATGATCAACCACTGCTGGATTAAGACATTATTCTATTGTTTCTTATTTCCACCTCAACTGATAAGGCAATTGGACTTTGTAACCAACCTTGGTCAACCTCTTGATTCCAGACCCTACGACCCCCTCCCAGCTTGCAAAAACCTCCCCAAACTGTAACTTCTGTAACTTTCCATCACCTGCGCCAAACCTATAAAACCAACTCTTATCCCACCGCCCTCTGCTGACTCTCTTTTTGGACTCAGCCTGCCTGCACCTGGGAGAATAAACAGCCATGTTGCTCACACAAAACCTGTTTGGTGTGAGGCTATGGGGAGGGTCTCTTCATTCAGAGTGCCCATTTTAACAAAAACCTTTCAATCTGCCTATGACCTGGAAGCTCCTCCACCCCTGCTTCAAGTTGCCTCGTGTTTCGGACTGAACCAATGTACATCTTACATGTATTGATTGATGTCTTATGTCTCCCTGAAATGTTTGAAAGCTGTAGCCCAGCCACCTTGGGCACATGTTGTCAGGATCTTCTGGGGCTGTGGCAGGGGACCTTGGTCACTTATATTTGGCTCAGAAGAAATCTCTTCAAATATTTTACAGAATTTAACTATTTTCATTGACAATCTTAGAATTTAGGGTGGGAAGACACAGAACTTGCAAGTTTATGTGAGGAAGAGCAGAGAGAAGAGGATTGCCGCTCACTGCTACTGAAGATGGAATGCCTGTTCCTTGCAGGACTTAGGGTGCATGGAGTGTGGGAAGATCAGAGCCAGCAGGGCTTCTGTCTCTCTAGGAAAGTAGCAAAGTGGAGATCAGAGGGGAAGAAGCTGTTAACTAACTGCATTCTTTCTTCCCCTAGGAGCAGTGGGCAGTGGAGAAACTATATACTTCATTCATCTTTAGATGAGCAGAGGAGGAAGTTTGAGCAAACTGGAAGGTAATTTCTCCTAAGGAAACTCCAAATTATCATTTTGAAAGCTGTTACAGTACCAGGAAAAAAAAAAAAAGCAACGGAAATACTTTCACCTCCATTAGAAAGACAGCAAAGTTAGAAAATATAGCTTTCAGACACAAAAATTCTTCACCCAACCAGTAATCTGGGAAACATTTGATATTTGCTTTCCTCACCTCAACCCCAAAATAATGTGTAGCAACAAGTGTTTCAGATTTTGGATAAATAATGAATTAATGAAGAAATTCCACATCTCCCAGTCACAGAGTAGGCCTGAACTCAGAAGTGCTCCTTAAGTGTCAGATGCATAAATGAGAATAAGGACTCCAGCATGCTTCTCCCTCAATGCAGAATGTGGCTGAAGGTCTTGGGCAGTGTAATTTTATTTCTTCATCATGAAGCGTGGGAATATATCATCTTTAAGGGATGGCCCTTGAGTAATCCAGGGAACAGCAGAGGCATGGGGCCATGGTCTGAGGCCAAAGTTCTGACTTATCCCTAGGGCATTGTAACTGGGGGTGTTTCACTCTTTCCTGACCTAGGTCCTGCTTCCACTGGAGGGAGGCCTCTTTGCCATCGTGTTCATGGCTGGCTGGCACTGGACTCTGGTCCCTCCCACGACATTGTCAAGCAGGGGTACCCTGAAGATGACTTGCATGACTATTTCCTCAATTTTCAAAGGGACAGTATATAATTAGTAACATTCTAATTGCATAGAAATAATTTATGATTCAAAGAATGCCTTATGGCATGGAGGCTTAATTCTTGTGAAACTCCGGTTGAGGACTGGAATACTTTACCTCAACTGAAAATAGACCTTTGGTCTGAACAAAAAGGTCCTTCACATTCTGCTCAGCCAAATCATTTCCCCAACCTCCTCAAAAAATTTATTGCCTCCTGGAAATATTTTCATTCTTAAATGCATGATTCCAACCCAGACCCTCTACAGTGGGGCTCACTGGATGAAAGAGATGAGAGAAGACAGAAAGTCTTGGAGTCAAACAGACCTACTTCAAATCCTAGCTCTGCTGCTTACCAGCTGCATGACTTGGGACAACTTATGAGCTTCGACTTCCTCATTTGTAAAATGAAGATTAAAAGAGATAAAGCACAGATAGTTCCGTGCCTGCTGCATAGATGGCTGTTTCAGTAATCTATGAGTAACAAACCATTTCGAAATTTAGTGGCTTGCAACAACAGCCACTATTGATTTGCTCATGATTTTACAATTTGGGCAGGGCTCTGCAGGGATGACTTGTCTCTACTCTACAAGGTGTTGATTGGGCTTAACTGGGGCTGTAGGGTCCAAGGTGGCGACACGTGTCCAGGGCCATGGTGCTGGCTCTCAGCTGGGATGCTTGGTTGTCCTCCATGTGGCCTCTCATAATTCAGTAATCTAGCCTGAGATCCTTTAAATGGATGCTTTTTTTTTTTTTTAAGACGGAATCTCACACTGTCACCCAGGCTGTAGTGCAGTGGCGCGATCACGGCTCACTGCAATCTCCGCCCCCTGGGTTCAAGCAATTCTCCTGCCTCAGCCTCCCAAGTAGCTGGGATTACAGGCATGTGCCGTCACGCCCAGCTAATTTTTTTGTATTTTTAGTAGAGACAGGGTTTCACCATGTTGGCCCAGATGGTCTTGATCTCCTGACCTCGTGATCCGCCCACCTCGGCCTCCCAAAGTGCTGATTACAAGTGTGAGTCACCATGCCCGGCCGGGGGCTGACTTCTAAGAGGAAAAGCAGAAGCTCTGGTACCTCTTAAGGCCCAGGCCAGGGCCAGCGCCACATCACTTCTGCTACATTCTTTGGTCAAAGCAAGTCACATGATTCAAGGGAAGGGGAAATAGTCTCCAACTCTTGATGAGAGGAGCACCACGCTCATACAAAATAGGAGGAACTGTTATCATCTTCTGCAGATTCTATCACAGAACACCTTCAACATCTTATTTGTCATCAGAACGAAAACAAAGCTAATCAAGGGAACCTCACTTTTATTCTTCCCCCAGGGCTTAATGTGACTCTGCTCCAATTTCTTTTCTTTCTTTTTCTTTTTCTTTTTTGAGACAGAGTCTCATTCTGTTGCCCAAGCTGGAGTGCAGAGACATGATCTCGGTTCACTGCAACCTCTGCCTCCTGGGTTCAAGGGATTCTCCTGCCTCAGCCTCCCAAGTAGCTGGGATTACAGGCATCTGCCACCATGCTTGTTCATTTTTTTTGTATTTTTAATAGAGACAAGGTTTCACCATGTTGGCCAGGCTGGGTTTGAATTCTTGACCTCAAGCGATTCGCCTACCTTGGCCTCCCAAATTGCTGGGATTACAAGTGTGAGCCACTGCGCCCAGCCTAATTTTTGTATTTTTAATAGAGACAGGGTTTCACCACATTGGCTGGGCTGGTCTTGAACTCCTGACCTCAAGTGATCCACCCACCTTAGCCTCCCAAAGTGCTGGGATTACAGGTGTGAGCCACAGTGCCCAGCCCTCCAATTTCTTGAGTATCATTACAGCCCTCAGGTCTTGGAGCTCTGTCTTTATCAGCTATATGTATATTAGTGTTCTGCTGTTTGCCTCTTTGCGGTGGATGTGCGTACCATTATCCCTACTTAAATTGGAAAGCCCATAGAGGCAGAGAGTAAGTCACCTTTGGCATCTCTTTCCAGCACTTGGTACTGTGGAGAGTTGAATTCGGTTCTGTCATGGATGTCTAGGGAAATGGACAGCGTTAGAAAGCTCTATGGAAGAGAATGTGGATGTGGGAATAGATAGGGGAGCCTTAGGGCCCTGAGGTTCTTTACAGCCTGGCTAAAGGATGGCAGCTTTCCAAATGTTTCATAGAAAGTCTGAAATACAGGGACACTTAGGCACTGGGGAGTCACACATTTATTTAGATGAATCCAAACCAGACATGGTGCCGAAGCTCCTGGAGGACAGAATCTCACCACGGGCGGGCTTCCTGGAGGCACTGGAAAGAGAGAGCATTTTGTAGCCATGACAGCACACGGCCAGAGCACACCAGGCTGCTGAGGGCATCCTCCTCACGGTCCCTGGCTCCTGTGCCATGAATTCACTTCATTGCTGGGCACTGGCGGTGAGAGAGGGAAAGGGGCAACTAGCTCGAATACAAATAACATTAACACAGAGAGGGAGGTGAGGGAGGGAGAGCTGTCTCTGCAAGCCGACTGTGGGAGAGCACTTTCCTGAGAAGTTTGTACTTGTAACGCATCCCTTAGGGTTTTCATTTGCTACATACCAGTGAGAGCCTTAAATAAATGTCTTCTGGGATCAAATTCATTTTCAATTTCCATCAGCCAGCAGCTGCAAGTCAGAGGGGACACTGGGAACTTGTTCTCTCTCATTCTGTCTCAAGCTTCTTTCTCACCTTAGCCTCAGTTTGTACACAACATACCTGCTGTGAATGACGGAAAATCTAAAGGAGCTGCCAAGTTCTAAATGATGAGCTGAGTTGCCTTTTGCCACTAATGTGCTGCTTGGGACCACACACCGAAAGGTTAAATTATAATTGACATAAATGAGAAGGAGGATTTTCTTCTCTTGGAAGGGAAGGAATCTACAAGCTTCAAAGTAAAAGACAAATGTATTAATCCGTTTTTTTACCATGCTTACGATCCTGAGGTGTTTACTCAATCGAGGAGCAGCCTCCCTGTCCTTACCCACCCCACAGGCATATAGCGCTGTGACTCCTGTGGCTTCCTTGACATCTTTTCCTACAACACCTGCCCAGCTCCCTCCCACAGAACCTCCTTATGACTAGGTGGATGCTATCACTCTTCTTCAGAGGACCATTAGGTTTAATTCCTACCATTGACTTGAGGAGTGCAGACATAGAGAGGATATGACAAAAGCAGACTGCAGCTAGTATAAATTCTCTCCACAGGGATGATGGTATTCGCTTTTAAAAATGGTTACAACAGCCGGGCGTGGTGGCTCAAGCCTGTAATCCCAGCACTTTGGGAGGCCAAGGCGGGTGGATCACGAGGTCAAGAGATCGAGACCATCCTGGTCAACACGGTGAAACCCTGTCTCTACTAAAAATACAAAAAATTAGCTGGGCATGGTGGCGCATGCCTGTAATCCCAGCTACTCAGGAGGCTGAGGCAGGAGAATTGCCTGAACCCAGGAGGCGGAGGTTGCGGTGAGCCGAGATCGCGCCATTGCACTCCAGCCTGGGTGACAAGAGCGAAACTCTGTCCCCCCCCCAAAAAAAAAATGGTTACAACAGCTGAGCGTGGTGGCTCACACCTGTAATCCCAGGACTTTGGGAGGCCGAGGTCAGGAGTTTGAGACCAGCCTGGCCAACATGGTGAAACTCCATCACTACTAAAAACACAAAACTTAGCCAGGCATGGTGGCATGTGCCTGTAATCCCAGCTACTCGGGAGGCTGAGGCAGGAGAATCGCTTGAACCCAAGAGGTGGAGATTGCAGTGAGCCAAGATGGCACCACTGCATTCCAGCCTGGGCAACAGAGCAAGACTTCATCTCAAAAAAAAAAAAAAAAACGGTTACGGCTTTGCAGACGCCGACGCCTCCTGGAGCCTGGTGGTATCAGCCATGGTCAACCCCACCGTGTTCTTCGACATTGCTATCAACGGTGAGCCCTTGGGCTGCGTCTCCTTCGAGCTGTTTGCAGACAAGTTTCCAAAGACAGCAGAAAACTTTCGTGCTCGGAGCACTGGAGAGAAAGGATTTGGTTATAAGGGTTCCAGCTTTCACAGAATTATTCCAGGGTTTATGTGTCAGGGTGGTGACTTCACACGCCATAATGGCACTGGAGGCAAGTCCATGTACGGGGAGAAATTTGATGATGAGAACTTCATCCTAAACCATACAGGTCCCAGCATCTCGTCCATGGCAAATGCTGGACCCAACACAAACGGTTCCCAGTTTTTCATCTGCACTGTCAAGACTGAGTGGTTGGATGGTAAACATGTGGTCTTTGGCAAGGTAAAAGAAGGCATGAATATTGTGGAGGCCATGGAGCGCTTTGGGTCCAGGAATGGCAAGACCAGCAAGAAGATCACCACTGCTGACTGTGGACAACACTAATAAGTTTGACTTGTGTTTTATCTTAACCACCAGACATTCCTTCTGTAGCTCAGAAGAGCGCCCTCCACCCCATTTGCTCGAAGTATCCTAAAATCTGTGCTCTCCCTGCAGCTCCCTTTGGGTTCCATGTTTTCCTTGTTCCCTTCCATACCTAGCTGGATTGCAGAGTTGAGTTAAGCTTATGATTATGAAATAAAGACTAAATAACAACAACAACAAAAAATGGTTACAACAAAGTGGTCACCAGTGGATACATGACTGAAAGGCTCAGGAATGCACCCCTGTCCCTGACTCAACAAAACTAGCCATAAACATGAACTAATCCACTGAGACACCTTGCCTCTTTTTACTTACCTTCATCAGAGCGCCACATCCTCCTAGGTGTCCTCAATTAGGAACTGCAATAATTCAGACATTTCTCAGTGTTAAAATCTCAGAAATCTCTGAGAAACCTTCTTTCAGAGCATTAGAAAGGAATATTCTATTTCGGGTTTTTGGGGAGTCAATGGTGCTAATTAGGTAGTCTATACATAGAGAAGAACTGGACATGTAAGGGCTCATTCATTCTCGATTCATGCAAAAAACATTTAGAGTACCCACTGTGTGTCAGAAACTGGGCTAAACACTGCAAGGACAAAGGCGAAGAAGACACCGCCCCTGCCATCGAAGTGCTTATAATTTAATAGGAAAACAGATCTATAAATAGATAATTATAAAAAATATGTTAAACACAATGATAGAGGTCTGAACAAGGTGACAGGTATAGATAAGTGACTAAATACTTCAAGGAAGTAGAGAGGATCTGCAGTATTACCTTTAAACAACCAAAGGGGAAAGTGGAACAAAGCCCAACAAACAGCTGCAGCTTTCCTAGGCTGAATCAGAAGATTGCATGGCATAAAGAAAACGATCTGAGTGAGGATCGAGAGACCTGGGCTCTTTCCACCAGTGCCAGGTGGTCAATTACCTGACACTGGAACTCTTGGGCAAACCAGTTCTCTCCCTATACTTTTGTTTTCTCCTTTGCAAAATGGAAATAATAACTCTTCCTATATTATTAAATTATGATGGAGAGACATGAGAGAGTAGATAATTAAAATATTTCCTCCAGGCTGGGCGTGGTGGCTCATGCCTGTAATCGTAGCATTTTGAGAGGCCGAGACAAGCGGATCACAAGGTCAAGAGTTCGAGACCATCCTGGTCAACAAGGTGAAACCCTGTCTCTACTAAAAATACAAAACTTAGCTGGGCGAGGTAGCACGTGCCCGTAATACCAGCTACTCAGGAGGCTGAGGCAGGAGAATTGCTTGAACCCAGGAGGCGGAGGTTGCGGTGAGCCGCGATTGCTCCACTGAACTCCAGCCTGGGTGACAGAGCGACATTCTATCTCAAAAAAACAAAAAAACAGGCTGGGCACGGTGGCTCACACCTATAATCCAGCACTTTGGGAGGCCGAAGCAGGTGGATCACGAGGTCAAGAGATCGAGACCATCCTGGTCAACAAGGTGAAACCCTGTCTCTACTAAAAATACAAAAATTAGCTGGGCATGGTGGCGCGTGCCTGTAATCCCAGCTACTCGGGAGGCTGAGGCAGGAGAATTGCCTGAACCCAGGAGGCGGATGTTGCGGTGAGCCGAGATCGCACCATTGCACTCCAGCCTGGGTAACAAGAGCGAAACTTCATCTCAAAAAATAAATAAATAAAAATAATAAATAAATAAATAAGTAAAATAAAGTAAAATATCTCCTCCAATACATCCTAAGGATGACAGTGATGAGAGTGTCCAGCAGGGGAACCCCTTCTCTACCTAGACTTGCATCTCTGGCCCTTGACTCTTCCACGGTGGAGAGAGGAGGTGACTGGTAGCCTAAGGCGCTAATTCTCCTCTTGCCCTTACCTTTCACATCCACCCGACAGTCCACAGATGCCTCCCCTAGGGGGTTCACTGCCTTGCAGGTATAGATGCCTCCATCAAAGGGACCAGGCTTGCGGATCTCTAGGGAGCAGATCCCCAGGTGAGTCAGGGCTCTATACTTAGGGTTGCCTTGGATATCCATCTTGTTCTTCAGCCAGATGATCTTGGGCTGGAAGACAAAGATGAGGGAAGCAGCAAGGAAGAGCAGGGGTAAGAACCAACGGTCTTTCTGTGCTCAGTTTCTGGGACTCTGTCCACGTATAGATAATGGCTTTCTAGGGGGCTCCCTGTTCCCTACATTGTGGAAAGGGGTTCCCCTTCCAGTACCTCAGCAGTCCCCCAAGCTCCTTCTCTTGGTTGAAAATAGCACCTGAAACGTCACTTTCTTCACCAATATTTCTGACTGGAAGAAAACTGCTAATTTCTGTTCCATGCTCTCAGGTAGCCCCTTTATGGCTCAGAAGCACTGAGCATCAGGCTCTCCTCTTGTGAATCATTTGTATTCTACCCCCACTGCTCACTTATGAGTTGACTCTGTCACCTCTGGTTAGAGAATAGTTTCTAGAGTGGGCTATTGACATCCCTCTTCTGAGATGTTATCTCCATGTAGCCTGGCCCAGACTCAAAACCCAAAAGGTTCTTGGTACAGGTTGTTAATGGTGTTTAATCCTGTGTGCGGAGCATGATGACTAGATTGTAAACAGAGAGGTCTTGCTCAGGGCTGTGGCCAAAGGCTGAACTCTAGGCAGTTTGCATGTGCACGGCCCTGATTGGATGAGATACAGATAGGTAAGCAGAAACCACCCGGACGCTGTCACTCCCACCAGAGAAACAACTGAAGTGCATGCCTAATTGCCAGCAGGTCAGTAAGCAACATCTTCATATATTAGGAACAAACACAAAAGGAAATGTCACTCTCATCAGTCCGTCTTGGACTCCAGCTACCCCAGCTGTTCCTAATACTGTGGTGTTGAAGAGGCAGATGGTGGTGATGGTAACAGATGTTATGTTACAATGCTCTGCAACTCAGCTTAGGTTAGGACAGGCAGGAACAGGAAGCAGTTCAGCACAGCATCCCCCCAGAACCCCCACTCACCCGGGGAGAGGCACGGACACAGCAGAAGAGCTGGGTATTATAGCCGGTGACTGTACTGCAGTTGGCCAGAGGCTGGGTAAACTTTGGGGCTTCAGAAAAGTCTCGCTGTGCAAACCCCTTGGTCTTGTAAACAGTAGCTGAGGGCACCAAGAGGGGCCAGGATGTAGCTTCTGCGACCCCAGCCCTTGTCGACTCGTTATTCTTAAATATATATATATTTTTTTTCCTGAGATGGAGTCTTACTCTATCGCCCAGGCTGGAGTGCAGTGGTGTGATCTCGGCTCACTGCAACCTCCGCCTCTCTAATTCAAGCAATTCTCCTGCCTCAGCCTCCTGAGGAGCTGGGATTACAGGCATGCACCATCATGCCTGGCTAATTTTTGTATTTTTAGTAGAGATGAGGCTTCACCATGTTGGCCAGGCTGGTTTTGAACTCCTGACCTCAGGTGATCCGCCGCCTCGGCCTCCCAAAGTGCTGGGATTATCGTGAGCCACTGCGCCAGGTCTATCCTTAAGTCTTCCCAGCTCACAGTCCCCATGCCCTCCTTACCTGCTTTCTGGATGTGGGCGAGGTCAGTGGTGATGGGGGCTGTTTCACTGAGTCCGCACTGGTTTTCAGCAAAGACGCGGAAGGCATAGGAGTTGCCGATGATGAGGTTGGAGACAATGCAGCTGGTGCGGTGATAGTGCTCCAGCACTGTGAACCACAGCTGCGGGGCCCCGACATGATGCCACAAATCAGCCACCCGACGTGGAGCTGGCACAGGCCTGTTCCAGCATGCCCTCTTCCACCCTCCTTCCTTCCCAGCTGGCCTCACCCCAGATTTTGTGTCAGCCTTCTGCACCGTGTATCCCAGGAGTGCTGTATTGCCCGTATCTTGGGGAGGTGTCCATTCCAGGGTAGCGTTGAAGCCCCAGACGTCCACCAGCTTAATACTCTGAGGAGGGCCTGGCCTCTCTGAAAGGGCAAAGCTATGGCAGTGGGTGCGGAACAGCCCACATGCACTGAAGTCACCTCAGGAGTGCCCCGGCCCCTTTTCCTGCTAGCTACCCCTTCTGCACCAACCCTGTGTCCCAGATACAATGTGGGGGCCTTGCCCAGCTTCCCCAGCTCTCTCAGCTGGCTCCTCTTCAGCCTGGAGAGGGAGTTCCTGAGGACCCCCCCCATGTCCCACTCCCCCCACCGTACCAATCACCAGGATGTCAATGGTGGCCGTGGCCTCCAGCCCGCCTAGCTGGACACGGAGTTGGTAGCGACCTGAGTCAGCACGTTGGGCTTCTCGGATGAAGAGGATGGAGTCTCGCTCCCCATTCCGCACGCTCACACGGCTGGTGTCCAAGGCACAGCCATTGTGTGTCCAGGTGGCTTGAGGTTTGGGCTTGCCCTGAGGAACGAGGGTAATGCTTTGAGCAGCCCCGAGAGGCTTCTTGACTTTCCCTGCTGCTGTAAGGGTCCCGCCCACCCCAGGTTCACAGGGAGGCTTGACTTGGAGCTGCACATTCCTTGACTTAGAAGTTGGTGGACCCTTCTGGGGGCCTCCTCCTTTCAGCAGCAGCCTAAGGATCTTGGGAAAGAGGGATGGCTTTGAGTCCCCCAACCTCTGAGAGCTTACGTCATGGACACCCGAGGCAGCTGGGACCGACTAAATAGCTACTCAAACTCCTAAGAACGCTCCTAATCTCAAGCTCCCAGGCCTCTGCAGACTAAAGGGCATGGATCTGCCTCACACTGTCTCATGGAGCACACCTAGTCCTACCCAAACCCACCCTCAGGAGTGCAGAGGTCATTTGGCCTCAGACTTCTGGTGGCGTGACCCCTTCTATCCAAGGGTGGGAAGATTGCCCCTCTGCTAGTAGGACTCTTAGTATCTGTTTCCAAATCCAAAGCCTGGGCTGGCCCCAGACATAGGCCGAGTGTGGGGCTGGCATGATCACCTGGAATGGGATTAGTAGGTTCACTGTGTCCCCAACCTTCCGGATGTAGGTCTGCCTCAGGGCCCGAGGTAGCCAGATCTTGGGGTGCTCTGAATGATGGAAAGAGAGAGAACAGGAGATGCATACCCAGAGAAAGTAAACCCTGCATCCAGCTGCCTGCTGTGGGTGGGTGGCCCAGGAGTCAGTCACCAAATTAAGCCCTTCTTAGAGGGAAGGGGAAGAGTGCTCCCATCATCCTGCTGGGATTTGGGGATGAGGGGTTGGCTTAAGGAACGCCCTGGGGAACGTTAAGGTCTCAGCAGAAAGAGTACTGGAGCTCAAGTCTGACACTTCTTTTAATTTGTCTCTCAAGTACTGACTTTCCATCATCCGGAGGCTTTCCATCCTGATGGACGCATTTTTATTTTTCTGCTTGTGTATAGACCAGCCTCGTCTGTGTGGTTTGCCTTTCCACCCTTTTCTACATTTGCCCTTACCTTTCCTTTCATCACGGCCACTTTTCACGTTAATCCTGACCTCCCAGTTAGGTACGAGGCTTGGGAGAATGCTCTCCATTCTGCAGGCAGAGTTAACACCCTGGCCTGCCCGGCCGCCCACAGAGACAACACTGACGTCACTGCAGAGGGAGCGCGTCAGGGTCCCTTACTCTGCATGGCCACTCTGCTCCCGGGCACCTTTGCAGTCTTATTTCAGTTTGCCGAGGATCACTCTGTACAAACAGATTCTGGGACAGACCAGGTCCACTGCCCATTTCGCCTTGATTTCACGGGCCTGTCCCAGTGAGAAGTGGAGCTCAGTATGGGCTTCCAGGATGAAGACAGGAGATGCTGGAAAAGTGCTGAGTGTAGGCTCGGAGAATGATTAGGTGTCATTTGTTTCCTCTTGGGATGCCCCACACTGTCTTTGCTGCCAAAGCACAAATATTCCCTCTGGGTTCCCTGGGGGCCTGGCTGAGACGGACACCATTTTCTAGCCTTTTCCTGACTGCTGTCTCCCGCTTTCTCAGGCAGAGGCAGTTGCCTGGCTGATGTTATCTTCAGTAGAATGTGACAGTGTTTCAGTTCCCAACAACCCAGACTCCCTGTGACAGTTCATTCTTGGCAGTTGGAAGAACTTCATCCCTGGTACATTCCTGTGGTAAACAGCATGACTGCTTGATAGTGGATTCCAGACTCTTTGATAAGGCACACTTCTGTGAAAATACTTCCCTGAGCATTCACTGTGACATATGTATGCTCACTTACGGACTGTTTAAATATGTATATTACATAACACAAACACGTAAGTGACGCAACCGAAACAGAGGTTCTACTGTGTTCTTCCTCCAGCTCAATCGTCAGAGCGTTGTCCAGAGAACTTCACTCCCAGAATCTCCCCATGATAATCTCAAGGTCGCGAGACTTTTGCAGATGAAGATCAATAGCAATATACAGCGCACAGTCCGTTTTATTTCTGCAGTTTCCTTTTCTGCTGTGTGGCTGATGTTTTCACCTGGGCTGTGCTTGTCTTAGACTGCACCTAGGAACACGTGATGAGAGGACTTGACAGGCCTGTGTGCCATCCTCTGAGCCCTGCTCAGGCCTTGACTGCCTCAGCACAGATGCAGCAGCCCCAGGGAGCTGAGTGTCCCTGCTGTGGCTGCCCCCGGTTGGGCTTTGGCGGCTTGGGAGGGGTGGGGCGTAAAGAACAGAAGCAGCGTTTGTGTGATGGGCTCCTCTCCTGTGGCCATCTTGGCAAGCAACCAAGGAGTTGAAAACAGGCGGATATGACTTAAGGGTGTTTTGAAAAAGAGGCCGTGCTTGGAGAGGAGGGTCAAAACCTCATCTTGTTGGGCTTGGTTCCCCGCTGCCGGGGGAGGAAATAACCCTTCTCACATTTGCCGGGGAGAGGGCTGCAGAGAAGGTGGTTCTGCTGTCCCTTCGTTGCCTGCCTACAGAATGTCGGCGTTGGGAAGGGCCTATAAGCACCAGAAGAAGGACGCGGGGAGCAAGAGGGCTCTGAGAGAGAAGCCGGTGTTCTGGAGACCTCCCGGCTAGCAGCGACGATGTGCCTGGCACCTGAGACTCCTGCTTCCCCATTTAGGATTGTGTGTCTGAAGGACCCATTCTCAAAGCATGACCTGTGTCCTGCCTGCCAGCGTGCACCCAGCACTGAGCACCAAATCAGGGCTCAGACAGTGGCCTGCCCCTGAAGGGAGGAGGCTCGGAGGGAAGGCAGGGCTAGACATAACCAAGGACTGCAAGGGGTTGAGGTGGGGAGAGGAGCCCAGGCCTTCACGCCTGGCAGAGGTGCCCACTGAACCCTGCCCTGCCAAGACCTCAGGTAGGGAATGGGCTCTTATGGGTAGCCGTGAGCTGACGTATGTGTTTCCACCTAGCGTTTGTTTCTTAGAAAAACACCTTGGGGCCAGGCATGTAATCCCAGCACTTTGGGAGGTCGAGGCGGGCAGATCACTTGAGGTTGGGAGTTTGAGACCAGCCCGACCAACACAGAGAAACCCCATCTCTACTAAAAATACAAAAGTAGCTGGGCATGGTGGCACATGCCTGTAATCCCAGCTACTCGGGAGGCTGAGGCGGAGGTTGCAGTGAGCTGAGATCACATCATCACACTCCAGCCAGGGAGACAAGAGCGAAAAAACTCCATCTCAAAAAAGAAAGAAAGAAAAGAAAAACACCTTGGAAAATGTTAGCATTCTTACACCTGAAATAAAGAGAAAAATGAAAGAAATGGGTTTGTGTGGAACATAAGCTAAGGTGGGGGAGTTAGGGGAAGAGGAGCAGACTGGCCCTTGAGATCCAGAGGGGATCCTAGCTGGGCAGAGAGAGTGAGGAAAGAGGCTGCCGGCGGGGACGGCGGGCTCTCCCTTCCTGGACGGTTCCGTTGCTGGTTCTCTGCTCATCAGTGGGTTTCCTGACGAGATGATGAAACTTAAGTCTCTAGAATGAGGCTGGGCGCGGTGGCTCACGCCTGTAATCCTAGCACTTTGGGAGGCCGAGGTGGGTGGATCACCTGAGGTCAAGAGTTCAAGACCAGCCTGGCCAACATGGCGAAACCTCATCTTTAAAAAAAAAAAAAAGTCTCTAGAATGGACTTTGAGGATGAGTAGGTGAGGCCCCTGCTCCCAGCAGGGTCCTGGCTCCCTGTGGGAGAGCAGAGGATGGGCGTGAGGCTAACAAAGCTGACTACGTGCAGAGGTGGCAGAAGAGAGTGTGGCAGCTTCAGATGCCCGGTCAGCAGGTCAGCAGCACGCTCTCCAATCGCCTCCCAGCCCAACCCAGGTGCAATCTGACTCTTTGCTGAGAAAGTTAATGCCAGGGGAGGCGTCTCTTTCACACATCAGCAGTCAAGTGAGGTGTAAATTGTCCTGACCTTGGGGAGGCATAGCTTCCCCTGATGCCCTAGGTCTTTCTCCTCCTTGGATGCCAGGAGGGATGTGAACCAAAGCTTAGAGCCTTTAAGAGCCTAGGTTTTCTAAGAGCAGGTCTGTCACAGTCACAGTTTGGTTTTCTCCCTTCATAGGGTCTTAGAGAAAAGGCATCTTGAAAAGTCCTTTAAGGGCCTTTGGTTGTGACCCACCTGCTCCCAGCATGACATGTCTCTCAGACACACTGCTGTCTAATTCTTTCTCAAAAATTATCAGAGAAAACTACTTCAAGTCCACTGATCTTGACTTCTGATTAGAAAATTCCTCCTAATACCTACCCTGCTTTTATCCTGCTAATGTTTATGCCCGTTTTCTTATTCTATAATTGTTCATATCCTCTCATAATTCCCTTTTATGGGATCAGAGTCTTTCTCCAGTGGCTGCCTTTCTCCATCGTTTGGACCGATGTTACTAGCTATGGCCTGGAGAGCCAAGAATCAAGATGGAAGCATTGGAGGAGTGGGGAGGGGGTGTGTGTGTGTGTGTGTGTGTGTGTGTGTGAGTGTGTATGTGTATAAGTATGTGTGTGTATGTATGTATGTGTGTGTGTGAATGTATGAATGTGTTTATGTGTATGTGTGTGTGAATGGTGTGTGTGTGTATGAGTGTGTCTCTGTATGTATGTATATGTATGTGTGTGTGTGAATGTATGAATGTGTTTACATGTATGAATGTGTGTGTGAATGGTGTGTGTGTGTATGAGAGTGTGGCTGTGTGTGTGTGTGTGTGAGAGAGAGAGCCTACATGGGTGAAGGGCCACCAAAAGAGGGTGAATTCAGGAGGCTAGCTCTTAAACTATCTAGAGGTTTAACTAACTATAACTCTTAAACTATCTAGAGGTTTCCAGGAATCTAAGAAGTACCAGGATTTCTTAGAGAAACATTAGCAGATGCCGAGGATGTGGCCTTGGCCTACTCAGAAACCTGTCTGGAGGAGTGCAAAGGCAAAGGAGTGGGGCAAGAGTGTCACTTTCTTGAAGACCATGAAACTACGGTCAGAAAAAATAAAAGGACATGGGAACAGGCAACACTTCTCTGAGGAGGCGACTCTACTCCCCCTCCCTGTCTTACAGTCGTTCCCCGAGTGCTTGATGGTTTCAGCCCTGGCTCACCGCCTCTCCAACACTGCTCCAGGCGTAACTCCTGCTGGTGTCAACACCTGTTTCCAGTCCCTATAGGGCGTCTCACATCCAGCCCACCAGTCCTCCAATAACTTTGTCCTCCCCAAATTCAGCCACTGGTCCTCGTGGCCATTCTCTAGACCAAGAGCTACAATCCTTCTATGATCAGAATTATAAGCATCCCATCATCTCATCACCACCTCTATAACAGAGATGGCTAACTGGCCACCAGAATATTCCGTAGTGTTGCTACCTCTGAGACATGGCGGCCCAGCTGCCTTGCTGGATGGCCATGAGACTAGTTCTTGCCAATGACACGTGAGTGGCAATGGTGAGAATCACCTCTGGTCCCAGGCTTTGAAGAAGTTGCATTTTTATTTTCCTCTTCTGCTAGCCATATGCAGATGATCATGGGGCCCTAAGGAATGGTGGAGCCCCAAGATGAAAGCGGCCTGGGTCCCTGAATTCCCACATGGAGGAGAACTATCTGTGCAATATAATTGTTTTTAGTTCTTACGCTAGTGAGAAATAGACATCTGTCATTCCTGAGACCTATTTGATCAAGAGCTACAATCCTTCTATGATCAGAATTACCAGTATCCCACTGTCTCATCACCACCTCTATAACAGATGGCTAACTGGCCACCAAAATGTGACATCTGTCATTCCTGACATATATTTGAAGAAACGTAACTTCTTCAAAGCCGGGGACCAGAAGTGAGTCTCACCATTGCCACTCATGTGTCATTAGCAAGAACTAGTCTCATGGCCATCGTCAAGGTGTCCAGGCAGCCACGTCTCAGAGATAGCTACACTACAGAAGGGGTGACATACATTTTGGTGGCCAGTTAGCCATCTCTGTTATAGAGGTGGTGATGAGATGATGGGATGCTTATAATTCTGATCATAGAAGGATTGTAGCTCTTGGTCTAGAGAATGGCCACGAGGACCAGTGGCTGAATTTGGTGATGAGACAGTGAGATGCTTGTAATTCTGGTCATAGAAGGATTGTAGCTCTTGGTCTAGAGCATGGCCACGAGGACCAGTGGCTGAATTAAGGGAGGACAAGTATCCACTAGTATATCTAGCTAATACAATCTTTATTCCTTTAGCTCACTTCCTCTCATGCTGCAACACCAGCAATTCTTTGGCATCACTGAGGTCTGTGATCATTATCCTACCACCCTCTCACTACCTAGCACCCTTTCATGTTAGCACTTTCTTCACCACCCAACTTAGATTACACACGTTATTATACTCTCTCTCTTGCACTCACCCAAATCCCTTAATCTGCTTTGACTTCATTGCACTCTTCTGGCAATACCTAACCCTGGTGAAATAAGCTTCCCACCCTCTCAATGCCTGTATCTGCACGGAAAAACAGGACTGGGAGGAAATACAAAATTCTGTGCTCTTTAACTTGAGGGCCATTAATAGTGACCACCACCTCCACGTGGACCCTGGCAATTCTACCAGACTTCCCGAGTTCACTCGGTCTCTCATTCTCCTGGGTGATTATTGCACACCTTCCTCTTCCAAAACCTCCCTACCTTCTCCCTCATTCTCATTCCCAGTTGTTGATCTTGCTGTGTCTAAGGCCCATCTACAGTCTATTCTAACACAGCCAGCTGGAAAAATCCTTAAAATCTACACTTCGGGCTGAGCAAGGTGGCTTATGCCTGTAGTCCCGGCACTTTCGGAGGCTGAGGTGGGCAGATGGCGAGGTCAGAAGATTGAGACTATCCCGGCCAACATGGTGAAACCCCGCCTCTACTAAAAATACAAAAATTAGCTGGGCGTGGTAGCACATCTCTAGTCCCAGCTGCTTAGGAGGCTGAGGCAGGATAATCACTTGAACCTGGGAGGTGGAGGTTGTAGTGAGCCGGGAGCGCGCCACTGTGCTCCAGCCTGGTGACAGAGGGAGACTCCACCTTAAAAAAAAAATTTACACTTGGTCCTGTCAGTCCTTACTCCCGGTCCCTGCACTGGCTGGCCGTCTGTCTCATAGACAACTACCTGCTACTTCTTGCCTTGCTACCTCTCAGACCAAAATACTGCCACTGTCTCCCTCCCTGTGCTACAGCCACAATGGCCCCAACCGGTAAGGCGCACTCTTGCCTCAGGGGCTTTGCGGTTATTCTCTCTGCGTGGAAGATTTTCCCCCAAACATCTGCATGCATTGCT